GTGTGTGTCTGTGTGTCTGTGTGTGTGTACACATCCACTTGTACAAACAGCATGATCATTCTATTCTATTCTATTCTATTCTATTCTATTGCCTTTCACCCATTTCCAGTGGCATGTTGGCATCAGGCCAAACCTCTATATGAGTGACATTTACTTCACACACTGCAGAACAACAGCACGGAGATGATGTCACACCAAGTTATTTCAAGGCTTGCTCTCTCTCTCTCTCTCTCTCTGTCTCTGTCTCTCTCTCATTCTCTCTGTGTGTTTAAAGATTTGGTTCGAGGATCAAGACAGGTTTGTGCAATAGGTGTTTGCTCAAGCCTGTCTTGTGTGTGCAGCAGTTTATGAGTGTGCGGCATGTGAATAAGTGTAGATGTCTTCAGTATGTGTGAAGGTCTATGAAGCTTTGCGTGTGTGTGTGTGTGGGTTTATTTAAATGTATGAATAATTGTATGTGTGTATATATATATATATATATATATATATATCTGCAGGTGAATGTTTGTCGCTTGCTACATTATTATCCACATGTGTGTTTATTTTGTGAATGTCTTTATGTGTTTACAGCTGTGTTTTCTGTGTGAGTCAGTGTGCATTTTTGTGTGAATATGCAAGTGCATCTGTGTGTGTGTGTGTGTGTGTGTGTGTGTGTGTGTGTGTGTGTGTGTGTGTGTGTGTGTGTGTGTGTGTGTGTGTGTGTCTCATAGACAGAAACCACCCCCAGCCTTTTCCCAAGCTGTTCCCTTCCTGGATCCTGTTTTTAGTGCCGGATGAGGCAATCTTTCCCATTGACTCAGTCATGCAATGCAAATAGCCCCAAAAGCATGCAAAGAGCATGGAAATGCAAGATACAGACACACACAGACAGAATGAGATGCATGACACACAAAGAAAACACAAAGACAACAAGAACTTATTTTGTCACTGTGTGTGTGTGTGTATGTGTGTGTGTTGCATCTGTTTAGATATTAGCCAAGAGAGAGCTACACTAACTTTTGTTTAGCCTTTCATTGCTGCTGGTTGTTTTCATCGTCAGTCCTGAATCATTTCCACTGAAGCAGTTTGGGGTGCAGTATCATGGGGCACCTGTTGCCTGTTGGGTGGTCGCTGCGGAGCCTAACTCCTCCTCTTTACACAACCGAACGTCCTCATTTAGGATACTAAACTTCGAGTCACACACACACACACACACACACACACACATACGTCTCACTCGTACGATAGACCTCTTAATAAACTGCAGTAGGCAACTGTTATAGTTACATCTGGTGTCGTCCGGTGCAGCGAAGGCTTGAGATGGATGTAACGCACGCACATACATTTTGTACCATATAAAAGAATATATACAGGAAATGAAATGTAACAGAAAATTATTCATTACTTTTTTAACATGATGAATTTCTGCCTTCTTTTTTTAGCATAGCCATGGAAATTTTATGATACACAGTTAATTGATTTTAGACAGTATCACTTAAATAAGTCAGGAAACATTATCTCATCTCATTCAGTCTGAATCTGGTTTTCTGTCCATATTCTGAACCAAATTAGTATCTGCTCTTGTACTGGTTAGTAAACGTTCAACATTTAGTAATTCCATCATGCTAACAAAAAAAACAAACTGTTGTTTTATTTTTGTTAAAAGGTGACACGCTCATATTTTACTGCTCAGAACAGTTGTAGATCATTTATCTCATTATGTAGATGGCAGAAATCTCACTATCATTCTTTAGCTTTAAAAATATAAATTGAAATAAAATAAAATAATGAAGAAAAAAAAAAACAATTAGTTACCAGTGTTAGCAGTCATTTAGCATTCTGGGTTACAGTGCTGGTGGTTAGCTAAAGTAAACTAAAGCCAAGTGTTTGTTCACGTTAAGTGATTCTGAAACTACAGTTGAGGGTCATTGTGACAAGAGTGATAAACTGTGATCGACTGTGTCACAGTATCTTCAGTTGGAACACACTCAGACTTTCTCTGACACTGAACATTTCTGAATGAATTTTACAGCTGCAAAGTGTCTGTTATATGAGACCACGAGCACTGGTTCATTTAGCCTCCGTTCACATGGGCTCATTGTTTTTCAGGTGGGGTTTCCCACAGAGTTTTGTGTAAACCAGCTGTTCTTAGTGGGGATGAAGCAAACTGACGCCTCTACCCTCTCCCTCCCCTCGCCCCTTTCTTTTTCCCAGACTCCTCGGTGGCAGTGCCGGTGTCGTGTGCGGCCTTGTTTCCCATGGACCTCAGGGTGGGAGAGCGGGGGCTGCGCCCTGGTTCGGACACGGCGCTCCTCACCCCGCTGCACCCGCCTTTACTCCTCACCCAGTTCTCCTCTCAGCCCTGCACCTCCTACTCCCAACAGCAACTGCACCAACAAATCAGGGTAAAGGAAAGAGAGATAGATGCTCAGATTAAATACAATATCAACAGTTTGAATAAAGACATGCTAATTGAAAAAAAATGTTCTCACGTGACCATTTGCTTTGTATATGTTGCTGAAATCTGTTTGTGGGGTTTTAGTTTAATGTGGAGCAGAGGAGGCGAGAGCAGGAGCACCATGAGAAACAGCAGGAGCTGCAGCAGCTAAAACACAAAGACAAGAGTCAACAAAGTGAGTCGGTACACACGCACACACACACACACACACACACACACACACACACACACACACACACATCCACATCAAACTTCACTAACATGTTGCTACCAGTCTCAGTTTCCATTTAAAATTGTCATATTTTGAACAGCACTGCACTGAGCTGTTTCCTCATCTTTAATAATAATTATGGACCAGAGTGCTAATAATGGCCAGAGAGGAAAGTCCCTGTGACGGCTCTCATTCATCTTTATTGAACAGTGTTAGTCGCCTTTTCAAAGCTGTTTGCTTTGAAATGGGAGCTAAATATAACCCGACAAGTGGAGCTACAACAGTGGAGCTAGATATAACTTTGGGTCTGAGCACACAAAGTCACTGGGTCAATATTGACTCGATCACTCCTCACACCTTCTGTCGCCTCTGTGTGCGCGCACACACACACACACACACACACACACACACACACAGAAATAGGAGCGAACTGTCTCTCAGACGAACCAGTGACCTTTACCCTGCTCCTCACAGTATTGCTGAGTTGTCTTTGTCATATGTTTTATCATTGTTCACGTCTTGCACAAATATGCAGCAAGAGTTTTCCTTTTGGCTTGTTCCTCCTTTGATGATGAAGCACTTGGTGATTCCTTCTTTGTTTTTAATTGGCTGTCTGTGTGTTTGATTGACAGGTGCAGTGGCCAGTTCCCTGGTGAAACAGAAACTCCAGGAGGTGATTCTTAATAAACGGAAACAGGCAGCGCAAGAAAGAACAAACTCCAACACTCTGACTCCTGTAGCGTACAGGTGACACAAAACACACACACACACACACACACACACACACACACACACACACACTAAATATGTTTCATGAACACATTAGTTACTCTACATGTCAAAATCTACTTCACATCTGTAATTCTTTAAATAACCTTTCAAATCTTTGTCAGCTGTAAAATCTGAATTTAGAATAAACTTCCACCACATGTTGTTTCATGTTTGTGTGTTTGTGTTTCTGTGTTTCTGCAGAAAGCTTGGCCCAGACCCAAGTGTGTCCTCCCAGCCTCTGGTCTCATCTCCGCCACAGCCTTCCCCTGAGGGCTCAGAGGGCACGCCGCTACGCAGAGCAGGTAAAACATCTGACGTCCAGAGGCAGGGACTGAAGGATCCTCCAAATGTTTGGGAAAATATGAATTCAAGATTAAGTGATACATAGAATTATACTGTGAAACATCTGGAGACAGTCGTGTTGATACCTGTTTTTCTTTTTTATTCAAAGACAAATCTCAATATTTTTATCACCAACTTTTTATTGTTTGTTAATGTTGATTTAAAAACTAATGACACTTTCATATTAGCTACTTGGAACCACATCTGTAAACCTTTTATATGGGTTTTGTTGGTATACACACGCATCTTCATCCATCTCCGTCACAGGTGTAAATAATAAAATTAAGGATGGATTCCATTTAGTTGCATTGTTTTGTGCCTGCTGGCTCACTGGGTCACTTGAATACAACGGAGCCATTGTTGATGTTATTAATAACACCTGTGGTTTGTCTGCTGTTACCAGTAAATTTGGAGGATTTCAGTAACTGGAAATCAGTTGAATCATTGTTGTGATGTTTCACTCAGCGGCAGTAGGATGAAGTAAACCATTTGGACATCATCACATTGAGTAACGTTCCCACTGTTGCTTGAATTTGTCAGCTTCTGAGCCCAATCTGAAGGTGAAGCACAAGCTGAAGAAACACCTGAACACCCGCAAGAGCCCGCTCACCCGCAAAGAGAGTGCCCCGCCCACTGTCAAACACAGAGTACCTGACACACTGGGTAAGTTCACACACAAATAAATAAGAGTGGTAATGCACTTCTGTTGTTTGATATGTGATGATCTAATTAGGTCAAATAATATATATTTATATATATATATATATGTAGATATATATAGGATGATGATGATAATGAGGATGATATGATTATGCATAATCATATTTAAACTTGTCCACTGTCTGTCTCTCTCCAGACTCGTCCCCCAGCAGCAGTAGCACTCCAGTCTCTGGCTGTAGCTCTCCTAATGACAGTCTGCCCAATGAGAATGGGCTACTGCCATCTGCAGGCGGCCTCTCACATGAGGTTAGAAACACACACACACACACACACACACACACTCGTTACTTGCTGAGAATGTCAAAACAATCTCATCTTAAAATGAACCTTACCTTTCTGATAGAAAACTGAAGTGGGAAGATGCAGAAATTAAGAAATCATGATGAAGTTGGACAGATCAAGAAAATAAAGAATATACTTTTTTGTCTCTGAGGCCGGCTCTTTTCTCTAGAGATGGAAAACTATGAGCATTTTAAACAAGTGAGCACACAGTTTGATTAAAAAAAAAAAAAAAGAAGTGGTTGTTTCATGAGCTGTTGCTGAGACTCTGAGTAATGACATGTTTAAAGCAACAACACAAGAGTACAGGAACAATGAGTGTGTGTCAGCTGTTAATGCATAATTCATTTAATCACAGCAAGTCAGAACAGAGCAACCTCCGTCACACCTGCTTCAGATGTCTGATTCATGATTCTCCGGTGTCCAGACAGTTCACGACAAAACATGAGCTCAGGTTTAATTAGACTACGCTGGTTTAGATTACTGAAGATGTAGATTTCAAAAAACACTGCAGAAGAAAAATATTAAGAGCATATTGCAAAGACAAATTGTGTAACAAGAGCAGAGGAAAGATCTTTCTGTGGGATACATAACCAAAAATCTCATAACTATAAAAACAGCAGTTATAATGAGTGTCGGTAATTTATGAGTGTAATTCAGTTTTTTTTTTTTTTAATGGAAAATGTGTTTGGCATTCCCAGGCCCAGAAGCTGCTGCTCAGAGATGGCACTCTAGCGAACTTCACCATCCAGAGTCCCTCCACTCTGCCCACCATCACCCTGGGACTACCAGCCAACGCCAGGGTAAACACTCAACTCCTCACTCGTTCTGAAATCATGCGTTTCCTTCTGAAATAAGTGGGAAAAGCTGATGGGAAAATCTTCTGTAATCGAATGATGTTTCTACCAAACACAGTGGTTCGCTTCATTTAAGACACATCTTTAAATAGTAGTACTGTGTAATGAAATTTAAGTGGCTTAAGCTGGACAAATGATCAGCTTCTTTCAACATACTACAATATATTCATCTTGCTTCTGTTGGCCTGATGATTCCACTGTGATAAAACGTAACGGCATGTTTCCTGTAGTCATAAAGATGCTGAACTGTGTGTGTGTGTGTGTGTGTGTGTGTGTGTGTGTGTGTGTGTGTGTGTGTGTGTGT